CTGATGGCCTTAATCTAAGTTGTCTTGTGGTTGTTGTTGTTGTAGTACGTAGTTAGACTGATGGCCTTAATCTAAGTTGTGTTGTTGTGGTTGTTGTTGTTGTACGGAGTTAGACTGATGGCCTTAATCTAAGTTGTCTTGTTGTGGTTGTTGTTGTAGTACGGAGTTAGACTGATGGCCTTAATCTAAGTTGTCTTGTGGTTGTTGTTGTAGTACGGAGTTAGACTGATGGCCTTAATCTAAGTTGTCTTGTGGTTGTTGTTGTAGTACGGAGTTAGACTTACGGCCTTAATCTAAGTTGTCTTGTGGTTGTGGTTGTTGTTGTAGTACGGAGTTAGACTGATGGCCTTAATTTAAGTTGTCTTGTTGTGGTTGTTGTTGTAGTACGGAGTTAGACTGATGGCCTTAATCTAAGTTGTCTTGTGGTTGTTGTTGTAGTACGGAGTTAGACTGATGGCCTTAATCTAAGTTGTCTTGTTGTGGTTGTTGTTGTAGTACGGAGTTAGACTGATGGCCTTAATCTAAGTTGTCTTGTGGTTGTTGTTGTAGTACGGAGTTAGACTGATGGCCTTAATCTAAGTTGTCTTGTTGTGGTTGTTGTTGTAGTACGGAGTTAGACTGATGGCCTTAATCTAAGTTGTCTTGTGGTTGTTGTTGTAGTACGGAGTTAGACTGATGGCCTTAATCTAAGTTGTCTTGTTGTGGTTGTTGTTGTTGTAGTACGGAGTTATACTGATGGCCTTAATCTAAGTTGTCTTGTTGTGGTTGTTGTTGTAGTACGGAGTTAGACTGATGGCCTTAATCTAAGTTGTCTTGTGGTTGTTGTTGTTGTAGTACGGAGTTAGACTGATGGCCTTAATCTAAGTTGTCTTGTTGTGGTTGTTGTTGTAGTACGGAGTTAGACTGATGGCCTTAATCTAAGTTGTCTTGTGGTTGTTGCAGTACGGAGTTTAGACTGACGGCCTTAATCTAAGTTGTCTTGTGGTTGTTGTTGTAGAACGGAGTTAGACTGATGGCCTTAATCTAAGTTGTCTTGTGGTTGTTGTTGTAGTACGGAGTTAGACTGATGGCCTTAATCTAAGTTGTCTTGTTGTGGTTGTTGTTGTAGTACAGAGTTATACTGATGGCCTTAATCTAAGTTGTCTTGTTGTGGTTGTTGTTGTAGTACGGAGTTAGACTGATGGCCTTAATCTAAGTTGTCTTGTTGTGGTTGTTGATGTAGTACGGAGTTAGACTGATGGCCTTAATCTAAGTTGTCTTGTGGTTGTTGTTGTAGTACGGAGTTAGACTGATGGCCTTAATCTAAGTTGTCTTGTGGTGGTTGTTGTTGTAGTACGGAGTTAGACTGATGGCCCTAATCTAAGTGGTCTTGTTGTGGTTGTTGTTGTAGTACGGAGTTAGACTGATGGCCTTAATCTAAGTTGTCTTGTTGTTGTTGTTGTAGTACGGAGTTAGACTGATGGCCTTAATCTAAGTTGTCTTGTGGTTGTTGTTGTAGTACGGAATTAGACTGATGGCCTTAATCTAAGTTGTCTTGTGGTTGTTGTTGTTGTGGTTGTCGTTGTTGTTGTTGTTTGACTTGCATCCCACTGGGATTTATTGCGCACAGCATAGGTGGTGTAACGCTGCTTTTTTTCAGGAATATTTTGCTGTTTTTTTCCCCCATGGATTTTCTGTTTTTGCACAGTCAACACGTAGAAGTCACTTTAAGATGTTTTTCTCGTTCGTGTTTTTGTTTTTTTTGTTTGTTGTGGTTGCACTCCGATTCAAGAGCCGAATGGCTCACAGGGCCTGTACCAAAAATAAATAAACTGAAAGAAAAAATACCTGAAAAAACTGTAGCAGACGGACAGAAAATATGGCATCCGTGCAGGACCGCCCTTTCCTGAAACCGCATTGGGGCTCCGCAAGCCTCTCCTCAGCGTGCCTGGCAAGGCGATGTTCAATAATCCTTGCCAGGACCTTTCCCGGCCTCACACTTAGGAGTGAGATACCCCTGTAGTTGTTACAGTCTGTGCGGTCCCCCTTCTTAAAGAGGGGAACCACCAGGGCATCCTTCCAATCCTGCGGAACCAGTCCAGTGGTCCAGACTGTTGTTATGATGTCATGTAGGGCAGTCTTTGCACAAACGCCACCCTCCCTCAGCATTTCGCTTGAGAAATCATCTCTGTCCGGTGCCTTTCCTGGTCTCAGACTCCGGATCGCCTTCAGTACTTCCTCAACAGATGGCACGTCAGCCAGCCACTCACAGGGGGTGACTTCTTCCAATATTTGAGGCACCGCAGCCTCAGCAGGGTCATCCCCACTTTGTGCCACGATGTTTTCCAGGCTGAGGGATTTCCCCTCCCCCAGGACCTCACAGAAATGCTCAGCAAATCTGCAAACCTGCTCCTGGGGGTCGGAGATTTGATGCTAATAGGTGTGGCGCTGCAGGTTACTTTTGTGATGGAATTAAAGAGCGATTAGCGATCGAGGGCCATTGAGGCAGACTCCATCTCCTCAGAAACCCGCGACCACCACCCATTCATGCAGCGCCTCACGGCTCTCCGAACCTCCGAGCGAAGGCTGTGGTAAGCCTCCTCATTCTCTGACGTGGGACTCTGTAGCCGATGACAGTGGGCCTGTCGCTTTTTCTCAACCATCCTGAACACTTCCTCTGTTAGCCAGGGTCTCTGGGGAGGTCTGGACCGCGTACCCAAAGCAGCCATTGCAGCTGCATGAGTCACAGTCCTAAACCTCGCCCATTTACCCGCAACATCAGGAGGAGTCGGGGACGATGCCAATCCCAGCCGCAAGCTATGATGAAATTCTCTCTTGCAACTTTCATCAGATAACTGAGACCAGGCCACTTTAGGTTGGAATGGGGTCCTGGGTGTACACCCACCACCGGAGTGGAAGAATGGCAGGCGCATCTTACAGATGACAAGTCGATGGTCAGAGGGCAGATCAGCTCCACGGTAGGTCCTGGTGTCAAGACATGGGCTCGCATCCGCTGGTCCATCACTATGTAGTCCAGCAGATGTTCTTGCTTGGACCCGGCATGCATCCATGATGTTGTGTGGATGCGCCGATGCCGGAACAGCATGTTGGTGATTACAAGCCCATGGGCTGCACAAAAATCTAGCAGCCTCCTGCCGTTGTTATTGAGCTGATCTGGCCCATGTCCTCCAATCACTCCAGACCAGGTGCCAGCATCATGACCAACTCGGGCATTGAAGTCACCCAACAAGATGACTCTATTCTGAGGGGCCACTTTAGCCAGCACCTGTGACAGGAGGTCATAGAAGGCATCTGACTCATCGGCTTTGCCTGCATCCCTCCACGGATGTTCGTCTTCGGTGGGGGCAAAAGTAACCACGACCACCACTCCTCGCCTCCGGTTGATGGGAAGGCGAGCCCAAAGTAGCCTGGGGCTTACAGCTTCCCACACCTCACCGCCACGCTCCCACGCCCCCTTCATTCTTTTGTTCAAAAGAAGAGCCACACCCTGTTGTTTGGCAGTCTGCTGCCCCGAGTAGAGGACTGTCCACCCCTCATGGTGGCAGGAACCAGAGCCGGTCCACCGGACCTCCTGAATGCCACAGAGATCCAGGCGGTACCGGTCCAGCTCCCGACAGAGGAGTGGCAGCCTCTCCTCCGCAGTGAGCATTCGAACATTCCACGTGGCCACCCGTAGTGGCTTTTCGTTGTTTCTGGAGGAGCCCTGAGGGTAGAGATTCAATCTCCTGTCTCCGCCAATTGGGGTTTGGCCAGGAGACGTCATAGACGCCTGTCCCCCCGGGGCCTCCGGCACAAGCTTATTAGTTAGATATTTTAGTCGTGGTTTAGTGGTAATTTTATTGAAGGTGGAGGGGTTACCAGCCCCTCGCTCCCATCCAGAGCCCCCGTTTAGCCCCTGTGGTGGACACAGACGCCATGAGGGGAGGAGCCAATCGGAATTGGCCCTCCCCCCACAGCATTGTCCACGACAGCGTTGCCCGTCCGGCACCGCGAGGAGGTAGGGGGTTGTTTTGCCGGACCACCACCACAACCAGCACCACCATCACCACCATCAGCACCACCATCACCATCACCACCACCACCATCACCACCACCACCCTCACCACCACCACTGTCACCATCACCACCACCACCACCATCACCACCACCACCACCACCACCACCATCACCACCACCACCCTCACCACCACCACTGTCACCACCACCACCACCTCCACCTCCACCACCACCATCACCACCACCACCATCACCACCACCACTGTCACCATCACCACCACCACCACCTCCACCACCACCACCATCACCACCACCTCCACCACCACCACCACCATCTCCACCTCCACCACAACCACCCTCACCCTCACCATCACCACCACCACCCTCACCCTCACCACCATCACCACCACCCTCACCATCACCACCACCACTACCACCACTACCACCACTACCACCACTACCACCACCACCACAGTATCTGACTGATCCTCTGTGGTATCCGCCTCGTGGATCTGGTTATCAAACCACTACCACTACTACCACCACTACTACTACTACCACCACCACCTCCTCCACCATCACCACCACCACCATCACCACCACCATCTCCACCACCACTACCACCACCACCACCTCCACCACCACCACCACCACCACCTCCACTACCACCACTACTACTACTACCACCACCACCTCCACCATCACCACCACCATCACCACCACCATCACCACCACCACCACCATCACCACCACCACCACCATCACCACCACCACCACCACCACCATCACCACCACCTCCACCACCACCACCACCCTCACCACCACCATCACCACCACCACCTCCACCACCACCACCACCACCATCTCCACCTCCACCACAACCACCCTCACCCTCACCATCACCACCACCACCACCACCACCCTCACCCTCACCACCATCACCACCACCCTCACCATCACCACCACCACTACCACCACTACCACCACTACCACCACTACCACAGTACCTGACTGATCCTCTGTGGTATCCGCCTCGTGGATCTGGTTATCAAACCACTACCACTACTACCACCACTACTACTACTACCACCACCACCACCTCCACTACCACCACTACTACTACTACCACCACCACCTCCTCCACCATCACCACCACCACCATCACCACCACCACCACCATCTCCACCACCACTACCACCACCACCACCTCCACCACCACCACCACCATCACCACCATCTCCACCACCATCACCACCACCACCATCTCCACCACCACCACCATCACTACCACCTCCACCACCACCACCACCATCACCACCATCACCACCACCATCACCACCACCACCACCACCCTCACCACCACCACCACCTCCACTACCACCACTACTACTACTACCACCACCACCTCTACCATCACCACCACCACCACCATCTCCACCTCCACCACAACCACCCTCACCCTCACCACCCTCACCACCACCATCACCACCACCACCCTCACCACCATCACCACCACCACCACCTCCACCACCACCTCCACCACCACCACCACCCACCCACACCACCACCACCATCTCCACCTCCACCACCATCACCACCACCACCACCATCTCCACCTCCACCACAACCACCCTCATCCTCACCACCCTCACCATCAACACCACCACCACCACCACCACCACCTCCTCCTCCACCATCACCTCCACCACCACCCTCACCACCACCACCATCACCACCACCACCACCACCATCACCACCACCACCCTCACCACCATCACCACCATCATCACCACCACCACCCTCACCACCATCACCACCACCACCACCTCCACCACCACCTCCACCACCACCACCACCCACCCACACCACCACCACCATCTCCACCACCACCATCACCACCACCACCATCACCACCACCACCACCACCATCACCACCACCACCCTCACCACCATCACCACCATCATCACCACCACCACCCTCACCACCATCACCACCACCACCACCTCCACCACCACCTCCACCACCACCACCACCCACCCACACCACCACCACCATCTCCACCACCACCATCACCACCACCACCATCACCACCACCACCACCACCATCACCACCACCACCCTCACCACCATCACCACCACCACCACCTCCACCACCACCTCCACCACCACCACCACCACCACCCTCACCACCACCACCACCACCACCACCACCACCTCCACCACCACCACCACCATCACCACCACCACCATCACCACCACCACCACCACCACCATCACCACCACCCCCACCACCACCTCCACCACCATCACCACCACCACCCTCACCACCACCATCACCACCACCTCCACCACCACCACCACCACCATCACCATCTCCACCTCCACCACAACCACCCTCACCCTCACCACCATCACCACCACCCTCACCACCACCTCCACCACCATCACCACCACCACCTCCACCACCATCACCACCACCACCACCATCACCACCACCACCACCATCACCACCACCACCACCACCATCACCACCACCACCTCCACCACCACCACCACCACCACTACCATCTCCACCACCACCACAACCACCCTCACCCTCACCACCATCTCCACCTCCACCACCTCCACCACCTCCACCACCACCACCACCACAACCACCCTCACCCTCACCACCCTCACCACCACCATCACCACCACCTCCACCACCATCACCACCATCACCACCATCATCACCACCCTCACCACCCTCACCACCACCCTCACCACCCTCACCACCACCACCACCACCCTCACCACCACCACCACCACCACCCTCACCACCACCCTCACCACCCTCACCACCACCACCACCACCACCCTCACCACCACCCTCACCACCCTCACCACCACCATTACCACCATCACCTCCACCCTCACCACCACCATCACCACCACCATCATCACCACCTCCACCACCACCACCACCACCATCATCACCACCACCACCACCACCACCATCACCTCCACCACAACCACCATCACCACCACCACCATCACCTCCACCACAACCACCACCACCACCACCACCATCACCTCCACCACAACCACCATCACCACCACCACCATCACCTCCACCACAACCACCACCACCACCATCACCTCCACCACAACCACCATC